CCAGTGTATGTGCAGAGTGAACTTGAAGGGAGCCGAATTAAGGAGCAGGAGTTACATCGTCCTTATACTTTCATTGCTCCTGGTTCTTGGTCAAGCATGGATTTCATCTGAGGAAGGCAATTGCCGTACCTATACCCTTACTGGAGACACCATTACCATGCCTAGCCAAGGTCGATAGAGCGTCAAAAGATACGACCACTTTGAAGCAAAGCTCGGCTCGAACTCTCAGATCTTAGTCATATTGTTCGCTCGTGTGCACGATAAATCTTCGAAGGTTTTGGCTTAATCATAACCCCGTTGTGACCTCTCCTTTCTCCTTCCACTCCAACTTGCCTGTACTAAATATTGTATTTCCTCCCGCATCCTTAATTATCACCCTCTTTCTCAATGCCTTTGGATCAGCCTGAACTTCACAGACAGACTTTCTTAAAGCTCTGAGTACCCCCTTCCCCTTACACCCCTCTCCGTTAACCGTGAACTCAATCGGGCTATAAACATCCTTCCCGTTATGAGCCGGAAATGATTGTTCCGAGGTATAATCCATAATGGCTCCCGCAGGCAGCCCTAATGCGCTCGTTGCATCCTGGAGCAAAAGGGCTTTTAAAGCATCTTGAATCAGGAGCCAGTTGGGAGGTTCAATGCTACTCCAAGTGACGAAAATGGGTTTCACAAAATAGGGTCGGTCGCCTGGGTCTCGAGCTTTCATATTGTAGCTGACAGTCTGAAAGTTGCAAACCAGGCTTGGTGAGTTGGACATCTTTGCCAAAAAGGGTTGTCCGGCATCATCGATTAAGAGAACTCACCGGACAGGGGCCTGCAGATGCCATACATATAGCGAGGAGAAGGCAGAGAAGCGAGAGATAGAGAGTCCTCATGAAGGATATCTTGGACTGTAAAGTCGAATCAGAGCTTGTCGCCACAGGTTTTCTTTGACCAGCAAAGAATGAGACGACCAGCGGAAGTAAGAATTGTCAGGCTTGGTTTTTATACAAGTCCACATCACGGTCTCGGATTTTGTGTGGGATTCCGTATGTATGTGTAAGTCAGCCGAATTTAGAGAATTGTTTGATTAAGCGTGTACGATTCCTAACCGCAAGGTTCATTTGAGCTTGAGAATGGGCTGCATTGAAGGAGAGTCCATGGATGTCCTCAACGTTCCTGTGTGGCCTCATCAAGATTTTTCTTGATGACAACTCCGACTCGAGAGTTTTGGGCACAGAGTTCAGTATAGCAAATGGTAGTCAAAAGTCATACAGCCACTCTACCCAACAACTTCTCCGAGTTCTTTCTCTACATCATTCCTTTTAGCCTTCCGCAGTGCTTCCGCCGCCTCCTTCCTCAATTGCTCCTCATCTCCCCTCAAGAGCTCTTTGTGCTTGATCATCACTGCGCTCACCAGTGTCGCAGTCGCCGACATTGCCGCATTCAGTAGAAAGACGTCTCGGAATCCTTTTGTATATCCCTTAGATAGTATGTTTGCTGCCTGAGAAACAGATATGTCGAGGCTCGAAATGGAGGAGGAATTGGTTAGCAACGACGGATTATCGATGACAGTAGTAATGGTGGATGCGGGAAGTTCAAGGTTGATCATGGAGGTTCGGATTGCGTTGTTCCTGAGCGGAAACCTCAACAACAGACTTGCGACCGGTCATAAAGGTTTACTTACAAGAGCGAAGAAGCAACAGGGAGCGAAATAGCACCGCCAAGCATACGAAGAAACTATGAACGAAACACATCAGTCAAGTCCGAGTTTGAGCCGGCTAACTCACGTTTCGTACTGCGGTGACGACCGACATGTCCTTTCTCGCTACACTGGCTTGAGCAGCCACTGTGGTAGTTTGCATGGTCTGACGAGGGAAACATTCAACCTTTTGAGAAGAGTATCCTTGCTGAAGCAAAAAAAAAAGAGTAATCGCACCATGCCATTTCCAGTACCAGTCAGGAGCATGAGGACTACCATAACTGCCTTGGAGGTGCTTGCGTTGAAGATAGAGATGCATCCAGACCCGATAGCGGACAAGGCGAAACCAGAATATACCACTGTACGATATTTACCCGTATGGCTAATGGATAATCCCTTGAAATGGAAGATCATGATTAACAAGATTATCAATTGTGGTGATATGAAACAAAAGCCCTCACCGCTGATAAACTTGAAGCAACTTGACTCAACACAATTGGTAAGAGAAACGTTCCTAGGAGATGGTACCCAAGTGTGAGATATCATCGTGGTAAACTGGATTCGGAGCAGGTTCAACAACACACCAGAGTAGGTAGGAGAATATTGGAGCACGACTTGAAAGTACAAAGGAAGATAGTACAGCGCTGAGAAAAAAACGAATCCACTGCAACATAACTGTTAATCTTTCGAGAATGATTGTTGGTCAACTTTAGAACGAACTTGGAGAACATGCATATGTAGACACCGACAACGGTGATGTGTTTGAAGATATGCACTAACAGAAATGAGCCTGGATAGGATGAGCAATGAATCGAGACCTACTCGGAACAATCGGCAGCTTTGCTACTTTCCATTCCCAAAGGCAGAAGAGAACCACCACAAACATACCACAACATAAGGGGGCTAGCACAACCACAGAATTCCATGGATACGTGACACCTCCCTTGAATTGTTCATTCCAGTATCTTATGAGTAGACAGAATAGATACTGACAGAGCCAAATTTGCTCACCCATATTAGAGGAAGCATGATGAGCGTACATCCCCCGACTGTTAACAGAATGCCAGTATAATCGATAATTCTGAGTTTCCTATGAATTACTAAGGTCGTAATAAAGTATGGCACAAGTAGGAGTATGACTAACTCGGCGATTCCTCCCGTCATTGGTTTGGAAGGGGCAAAGATGACCGCCATGATAGTAGCGACAATGGAAAGGGGTAAAGTAACCCAGAAACACCACTGAAAGAAAGAGCAAAGTCAGAAATTACATGACGGGATAAATTGCATCGATTTACCCTCCAACTGGCCTGTTCAGCTAAGGCACCCCCAATGACAGGTCCAATGGCATATCCTAATGCGATTACACCAGCTGATACACCGACATATTTTCCTCTAGAAGAAATCGAACGTCAAACTTCTTGGATAGCAAAAGATCAACAACATACCTTTCCCTCAAAGGAACAATATCTGAAATCATAATCTGTAGCATACTGCTAATACCTCCTCCACCAGCTCCTGCGATTCCTCTGCACACAATAAGCTGAATGATGGAATCAGAGAAACCCGCGGCGAGATTTCCGACAAAATAAACGGTCATGGCAAAACACAGAGTACTCTTTCGCCCGAATATGTCGCTCAATCGTCCATACAATGGTTGGAATCCAGTTGAGGTCAACAGGTATGCAGATGGTACCCAGGAGGACACGGAGCCTGCATTGAACACGGCCGACACGGTAGATAGGGAAGCGGAGACAATAAGGGAGTCAAGGGATGTTACCAAAGCACATAATGACAGGGCAAGAAATATAACGACAACTTGTCTGACTGGGAGGAGGTTGGTTTGGTCAGTTAATTCAAGTTTTTTAGTTTGCGGTTTAGTTTCGTTTGATGGTTCAGTAGTGCCTGCGCCAGAATGAAGTTCAGAGAGCGGGATAGAGTTGTCTGTCACTGTTGCAGATACTGGAGCAGCTGGCATTGAAAAAGTTAATACTTCTTATCGCGACCTATATATAAAGGAAGTTCAATGCATAAGACGGTTTCACGTCATTTCGGTTACTGTCCGTCGTACACACATCTAGCAATCAACTCTAGTCGGGTAGGATAGCGTCAGGCAAAGTTGATCAGCATCACCAACACAGAGGTTCATTGTACAGAAAGTGTTGCCAGAGTCGATGTCCTCGTACTGGACTTAGAAAAGAGGTATAGGTCAAAAAAGTGCTTCCACGTGACATATTTCACCTTTCGTTTCGCCATGCAGCGGACGCTGTTCATCCAATCTTTACGGTCTTTTGTCTCTATTAGAGTCATCGTTCAAGCTCAATCGGCCTCTCGAATATCATCACTAAGCCTAGCAAACGGTGGACCCATTCGACTCAAGTCAACGAAAGCCGCTACACAAAAAACTACACCTCCAGCCTTTACAAGCGCGTCTACAACAGCCTCAGAAAAACCAGCCTACACTCCGCCTACAGTGTCAAAGACAGTTGAGCCACTCACCTGGCCTGCGTACCTTAGTATTCGACGAAACAAACGAAGATGGCAAAACGTAAGATAATGTAACAGCCTATGAACTCTTGAAGCTGAAGGGAGGACATAGTTTGCAGCCATACCTTGCTCACTGCTAGGTCTGTTGGGTGGAGCAGCATACTTTGGAAGCTTGGACACGGATCCGATGAAACCCATCTTCGTGAGTTTTTTTACATTCATTTAGGAAACTACTTGAACATTCAAATATTCACATAGGGCATGGATCCATTTATGTTCTACGGAATTTGCACAACCGCGTGTATGGGTGTTGGCTACTTGGTGGGACCAACCCTTGGCGCGTTCTTATGGCGTCAACTTCCCTCCTCGAAACGTTACGGTAGCTTAATAGATAAGAAGGATAAGGAGTTCTATGAGAGGATAGGGAAGAATCGCGTGGACGTGACATTGCAAAGTCCTACAAGTCCAGTGCCAGATTATTACGGTCAGCTTTCTTTTCGAAGTTTAGTCATAAAATACTCATATCATATAGGCGAAAGGATTGGCTCTCTGCATGAATACCGGAAAGTATGTGTCTTTCTTTCCCACCAGACCTGACTAGAACTGACACGAGAAACTCGCAGTGGCTCCGTGATCAGAATAAATACCGACGAAAAGTCATTTTTGATGAAGCAGCATAGAATATCATCACAAGGAATTCTGGAGCTCGTGTAACTATCCTAGCCGCTCACATTCATAGTAATCGCACAAAATACAGAATCTTTCATGATCTAAAGTGGGATTCAGTTTCACATCTTCGCATCGATATTTCGGGGAAAAATAAAACTTTCTCCTATTCCTTCTAGCCGACTTGAACGACTGACCTCGTCATGCACACTGAGAGTGTTACTAGTGACGCGCTCTACCAACTGAGCTAAGAAGGACCTAGCAACCTCAGGACTCACTCATATCCTTCAGATTGTTAGAATATTCATTATTGAATGTCCATGTCAAAATGCATACACAAAGGTGCTATGGAAGTACTATCATCCCTGCATATCATCCCTGCATAACATTGGTATGTAAATGTTTGAGGTTACCTACGCAGAAACTATCCATGTGAAACGTAGGGGGCCGCAAAGACATCGTACTTAGAGGTCAGAAAGAACACTCTCAATGGAGGTAGTGATAGCGAATTGCTCGCTCTGGTCACCGGAATCACCGAACACTGTTGCAAAAAAGCATATGAGCATGCTATACATCTAGGGTTCAAAAACATCGACATACAGATGATAGAATAGTCATCTCCTGGAATGACGTCCGAAGGGCAAGTGACGGTAACCCATCCTTGTCTGAGGTCGAAACCACTGACGAGGGCTAGAGACGAGTGAGCGGTAAAGTTCCAGCGACGAGTATTAGAGAGGAAGGATGTCGACGTACTGGTGTTGGTTAATTTCTCATCCTTACCCAGGACGACAGCGGCTGCATTGGAGATATTGACGGGAGCATTGGAAGTATCCCTTACACGGCATATTCAGAGCATTCCGAGGCAGTGAATGCATAGTCATCCTCACCAAGTAACATTGTACTGCTGTCCCTCGGTCCAAACGGTGCTAGCATTAGGAGAAATGATCGTCGGGGCCCAGACATCCAATATCATGCGAGCCTCGTTGGACACGGGCGAAGCAGAGACTGCGGAGGCAGCGAAGGCCATAAGAGCAGAGGCGAGGAGCGTGAATTGCATGATGACAAACGAGGGAACGTGTGTAGTAGGGATCGAAGGAGAGGAAGTTGCCTTCTAATGGAATTTGAGTACCGTGAAGTGAAGGCTGCGTGAAGTAAAGGAAGAAAGACGAAAGATGTGTCGTGGCAACGAAGGTTTAAATACCCTCGCTAAACCCTATAGAACTCTGCCGTGAATGCGAACATTCCGCGAAACATTCAAATTGCAATCAACGAGTTCAGCTCCACAGCATGATGGCTTGGAAGCTCTGAGAAGCTCTGGGATCACAGCTGATCACAGTGCTCCTCCGCCGCCTGGCCCCGGCTGTTGCAGTACACGTTGAATTTGGGAACCTCTTGAAAGAACCTCTTGTAGGCTCATGCAGGTTAAGAGCAAGTCCGTTCAGCAGCCCATCTGTTTGGCGCATTGATTCTCCGTTTGAAGGATGAATTGGATCTCATCATTCTGTCTTCATTCATAGTGTAGTATCGCGTGAGTAGAAAAACATGACAAAACCCCGCTGATCAAAAACTCAGCTGGTCTCCCAATGCCACAACAACGCCTACTAACCATCGGGGCCACCCACCCCTTAGTGGTCTGCTCCTTTTGCTTCATGTGTCTAGCCATTGATGACTTGTTCAGTCGAAGCTTCATTCATGAGCACCATAATACCACGATAGTTCATGGCGTGAATTCATCGATAGAGAAAAAGAAAGTGTTGATACAGTCAGAAATGTAATGAGAATCCAATCATGTGCGGAGGTAACAGCTTTGCGTCGATGACTTGTGAAGAATAGAAGAGGTAAGGAAAAAAGATATTATAATTATAAATTGATGAAACTGGTGTCAATTCCATGAGCAAAGTCCCAAATACAGATACGCTGTAAGAAAGGAAGAACGTTGAGCCATACCCGTTGAATAGAGTTGAGAAACCATTAGCACATACTTGATCTTCGCCACACGAGACGACCTGGAGTAACATAGAGTTAGTTTGTAGAGTATATCAAGTGTACGACCCTGAACTCACCTTCGTGCAATCAAATCCGATACAAAATATTCTCCCCGTATGCCCACCAGAAAGATCTGCTACCAAGGCACCCGTTCTACGATCCCAGACCTTCAGAAGAAAGAGAATCAATCATCATCCGCTGCACGTCTGACAAAAATCGTACCTTGATACTTAAATCATAGCTGCCACTTAATACGAACTCATCTCCAAAAGCAACACTCCTCACTAGATCCCTATGAAGAACGTTCTTATGGGCATTACCAGGACCCTGTCGTCCACCACCTCCGAGTGTGACCAGCCCGCTGTTCCCGCACGTCTGACACAAGACGGGCTGGCCTTCTTGGCCAAATGCGAAAGTCGTGTTGACATTATTGTGCTGTACAGGTTCAAATCCAAATCCAGTAGGTTGGAATTCGCTGTTGCCTGCAGTGACAGTCTGAGACAGGAAAGCTGGGACGAAAGAGGAGGGCAAGGGAAAAGGAGCAGCCTGAGAACCCAAGCCGTGGCTGACTGATCCAGAAAGAGTGTCATGATCCGGCGAAGTTGACCAACCTTGTAAGGTTGTAATATCGAACAAGCGAAGATGTTTATCCGAAGAACCAGAAAGAACATAAGGAGGCTTGAAATCGATAGAGGCGATTCTGCAATATCAATCAGCTGAAATTCGTCAATCAGGGCAAAAGGATACCTACCCCCTGCTGTGGTGATTCTCGAAAGTACGCAAGGATTTTCCAGTGTTGGCGTCCCATAATCTGATTGAACGATCGCCAGAACCAGACACGATGAGCGTTTTTGAGATAGATACGGCGTTTACAGCTGCTCGATGTGCACTCAAGACGAATTGAGGCTCTAGATCGGGAAATAGGTACGTTCTAACAGTCCGGTCTAGGTAGACGTATGGGAGGGTAAACTCTCGTAATATTTGAAGGTAAAAAGAGACAAAACGAACCTTTCGAACAAGAAACAAGTCGGTTCTCATCGAACCGCACACAAAGCACGCTGTCTTCATGGTCAGAAATGACCTTCATGACCTTGTTCCTCTCAAGATCCCACACGACGACCTTTCGGTCGCTGCCCGCGCTAGCGAGTATTCCATTATACACGCAGATGCTTAAAACGGAGCTCGTATGAATCCCGCCGATGACTCTTTCCACAAGACCTGTCGATAAATTCCACTCTCGTACAGTCTTATCTCGCGAGCCAGTGAATAGCACTTGGGCGCCCGAAGAGGGATAGGTGTATAGTTGAAGACAGTATATTGTGTTCGTATGTGAGTTAGTGGGTGCACCTCTGGTTTGGAGTGCGGATAATCGATAAGAGGAGGAGAGAATACGCTTCTGAAGTTTGATCTGCGTTTGATGTAGTAGTTTATAGTTCGGTTTTGATGAAGATGAAGATGATACAGAACTGAGAAGTGAAGGAGCAGAGTGACGCGCCGCTGCTCGAGGGCGCGCAGTAGCCAGCTTCTTTGTTGATGAAGAATACAGCTTGTTGCTAGGAGGAGGATAAACGCTGACCCGATTTCTACTCGGAACGGGCGCAAAGGCGTTGGAGGACGTGGATGCGATGACTTGCTCATCACCCGCGAACGACATGGATGCAAACCCCGAATCCAACTCTGCATGCATCATCGTTAACTCTGCTTTAGCAGCATCAAGCTCGCTCATCATGAGTGTATCAGCAACTTCTTCTTCTTCGGCTTCTTCATCCGAATCTCCCATTCCTTCGTCATCTGAATCATTCCAGGCATCTGGGGATGCGCCTAAACCGGACTGGGTGAAGGCTGGAGGATATTTAAGTGATGGCTTTCGCCATGACCAGCCACGGGCATCACAGAGATTCTTCCAGAGGGCTTGATCGTTGGCGAGGATGGTCCAACGTCGACAGACGAGAGCGCAGATTAGTAAAGCTGGAAAAGGGAGGTAGGAGAATATTTGGAGGGATACTTCAGCTGGTAAGGACTATGATGAGAGATAGAATTAGCAGTAGAAACGAAATCAGAAAGTTGAGATAGAGAGCGACTTACTCCCACAACATCGAATTGCAGCAACGGTGCGAGCCTCCTTTGTATGGTAGCGAGACGAGATCTAGGCAGAGAAGCTAAAAGTTGATACGCCAAGTCTAGAAAACATTGATTAGGCAGAGTTTGCATTCAGCATATACATAACAAATTAGTGAGTTACCTTCGCACTCCTGCGCGGAGCTAAGCCTTGAAAGCAAGTCAATGCTCTTACTGGGCGTCATTTGAAGTGGCTGATTCGAGAGATCTTCATCGTTGTATCCTTCGTCAAAGACAGGTGAGGTGTTCATATAGGAGAACCAATCGTTGAGCTGAGCGCGTATTACGAATGAAAAGATAGTTTTGAGGTATGATAGGTGGTACGACGATTGGTTGCTCAGTGCTCCGTCGCCGTTGCAGTTTGGTTGAGCGCCTGTTTCCGGTTTCCGGGATCAGTTGCACACGTGCCAAGGTATCGGATCACTAAAGCCGGATGACACTACTATACATGGCCAGGATACAATACGTAGAACTACGCTTCAGAAAGTTTATCCCACTGAATTTCTTTCCTCTTCAACACTGAGAATGGTAGATGATCAAGTTCTCAGAGAAATTATGGAACAACAATACTTACTTTGCTGTTTAGGAGAGCACGCCACTCTAGCATCCAATTTGGCCTTGACAATCGCGCTATCAATGAACATCGCGCCTCCCAAGTGTTCAATAACATTGTCTTTGTCTGTCCCAACATCATTCAGCTAAATACCAAAGTCAAACTTGTTGAGCAAGGAGGTTTAAGCGGTAGGATTCACCTTTTCAATTTTGCTTAAATGTCCTTCATCGGCGTTGAGAAGACACTAGTGAAGAAATAAGTGGGTGCCAAGAGTAAACATTCATGCTGAAGACTACTGAAGAGATATGCTCGTACCAGCCAAAACTCCCCTTGTGAGTGTTCCCTATGGGATCGTTGAGCTTTTCTCGAAGCATACTTGTACCAATGAACAGCTTACCGTTCATGTGCAGCATCCTCTGCGGCAGCTTTTGGGCTCAAGAAGCAGATAAATTTGGGATCGTGCAAAAGCTCAGGGTGTGTAGTCCCTAGATTGAAATTTTCATCCCGCAACTGCTCACTAAGCTCGGCGTGTTCCCAATCTCCAAAATCGAAATTTCTCTCGGCCTTATACTTCTCGTATTTATTAGCCTGACCAATGTG